TGGAGCCTGTTTGGGATTCTGTGTCTCCCCCTCTCTCTGCCCCTCCCCTGCTCATGCTCTCTCTGTCTCTCAATAATAAATAAACGTTAAAAAAAGTTTTTTAAAAAATGATAAATTGGATTGAATTCATTGGATATCTAAGTCTTTTCCAGATAAGATGAAAGACCGGAACATTAATTACTGAATGTCGGTTTTTCTGCTTTTAGCCTCTTAACTGCAGGGGAACTAAAGGTGCTTGGGTCCAGGGGTGCCTGGGTGGCTCAGTCGGTTGAGCGTCTGACTTCGGCTCAGGTCATGATCTCATGGTTCAGGGGATGGAGCCTGATGTCCAGCTCTGAGCTGACAGTGAGGAGCCTGCTTGGGATTCTCCCCATCTCCCTCTCTCTCTGCCCCTCCCCCACTCACACTGAGACTGGAAAAAATTAGCTTTAAAAATACACTGGTCTAAAATTAAATTTTGGTTTTTCTCTCTCTGATAAAAATACAGGATTTTTTTGGATTGTTGGTCTGCCCTTGATGAGAAACTCTAAAGCTTTTTTTTTAATCTTCCCAGAAAAACAAGGTTTCTGTATTTGTTTCTACTGAGCCCTTGATTACTTAATAAAACTGAATCTTATCAATATTAAAGGAGCTAAGTTTTGCCAACAACTATATACCCTTGTTATTTGCCTTTCAAATCTCTCGTTGCCGCCTTGGTTAAATAAATATTTAAATATTAGGTTTTATAGTAGTCTGTAATCCTACTTAGGCCCGTGCTTTCAAACCTTTTGATATTTGTAACAAATTTCCCCCAAATTCAAGTTCTAAATAAAGTCTTTTTAACTAATTAGGGTTGTTGATTGGATTTGTGAGGCACATGGGAAGCAATGTCAAACAAACATTGGTAAACCTTTTTGGTTACATTACATGGGCAAAAGCCATGACTGTTCCAGAAATTAGATAAAATTCCAAAAATTAAAAAAAAATTTTTTTTTAATGTTTCTTTGTTTTTGAGACAGAGAGAGACAAAGCACGAGCAGGGGAGGGGAAGAGAGAGAGGGAGACACAGAATCCAAAACAGGCTCCAGGCTCTGAGCTGTCAGCACAGAGCCCGACGTGGGGCTCGAACTCACAGACCGCGAGATCCTGACCTGAGCCAAAGTCGGACGCTCAACCGACTGAGCCACCCAGGTGCCCCCAAATTCCTAAAATTTTAATATGTCCTGGCATGATGTCACCACTTAGAGTTCTAATTATGAAAGTGTTGTGTGTCACAAAAAGAACCAAATTTCCTTGTCAACTGCATCAGAATAAACTCTCATCAGATTTTTAACTGTAGCAAGATTCTCGCACACGGAGTTGTGACACCGAGGCTTTTCTTTCCAGGAAGCGACTTTATTCTTGCCGGCCCTGCTCGGTTGGGTTCGTACCCAAAGAACTGAGCCCCGGATGCCACGTGGGGTAGTTTTTATTTTTTAAAAATTTTTTTTTTTCAACGTTTTTATTTTTGGGACAGAGAGAGACAGAGCACAATGGGGAGGGCAGAGAGAGGTGAGACACAGAATTGGAAACAGGTTCAGGCTCCGGCCACCAGCCGACGCTGGGCTCGAATCCTCATCGACCGCAGTTAGGATCGACCTGGCTGGAATGGACGCTTAACCGACTGCGCCACCCAGGCGCCCCATGGGGTAGTTTTTAAAATATATTTTCTGCTTCCTTGTCTCCCATATAGGATAACACAGAAACACGTAGTCTGATTAAGTGGTCTCACGTTGCAAGGTCATGAGGGATGTTGTCACGTTCACGTGAGCATAGTCAAGCTGCTACTGAGGTTGGTTTTGTTTTGTTTTGTTTTTATTTATTTATTTTTTTAAATTATTATTTTTTCAACGTTTATTTTTTGGGATGAGAGAGACAGAGCATGAATGGGGAGGGGCAGAGAGAGAGGGAGATGAATCGGAAACAGGCTCTGCCCTGAGCCATCAGCCCAGAGCCTGGATGCGTGGGGGGCCCGAACTCCCAGACCACACGAGAGATCGTGACCTGGCTGAAGTCAAACGCTTAACCGACTGTGCCACCCAGGCGCCCCGGTTTTGTTTTGTTTTTAATTTTCTCCCTTCCTTGGGATTCACCACATAACCACAGGGCCACATTTTTTGAGTCTCCGCCATTGCTGCTGTTCTGATGCTCTTGCAAAACTATGCTTCAGCTAGGGGGGCAACCTGGGTGGCGTGTCGTGTTAAGCGTCCGCCCCACTTCTGCCAGGTCACTTCCCATCTCAAGGGTCCTGCGGACATTCGGAAGCCTGCCGGGTCATTATTGCCTGGAGCCTGCTCTAGATTCTGTGGCCTCCTCTCTTCCCTCCCCTCAAGCCATGTCATCTCTCTCTCTGTCCCAAAATAAATAAACGTTGAAAAAAAAACAACAAAAACAAAACTATGTTTCAGCTTCAAGGGAAATTCATTTAACAACACAATTTTAACACATACAGGTGTCCCATATCCTTAAGGTCAGAAAACTAAACTAAGCATTTAGAATTAATAGAAAAGCTCCTCCAGAACAAGACGAACAACATCGGACTGACTAGGCCGGAGGTAGAGGACTAGAGTTTACCATTCTTGTTTGAAACGCTGTTGTCTCTCTCTAATGTTTGTGTCATTGGAGAGGGTGGGCGTAGACGCTGGTCCTTGTTCTTCCAGAGTGGAAGAATGAATCTCCAGCACGACAGCTTATGGAGTTTGAGAGAAAAGCAGGCGAAGCTCAAGAGGCGAAGGTGGGTCCCGGGACGGGTAGCCACTGGAGGATTTCTGCCCCCGCATTGGGACCCATCAGAAAGTTTGTGAGACTCACTCATGGTGCATCTAGCTCTGTATGGTCCGAATACGTTTATCCTTTTTTTTTCTTCCCCCAAACCCTGCTGCCCAGGGGGTCCCTGATCTCGCCCTGCCTAATGTTGACCTTTTCCCCTATTCATTTGCACTTCCAGATTTACATGGAAGTTTTTTCATAGCCATGACTTCAGAAATTGGACAAAATATTATTATTATTATTTTTTAATTTTTTTAACGTTTATTTATTTTTGGGACAGAGAGAGACTGAGCATGAACGGGGGAGGGGCAGAGAGGGGAGACACAATCGGAAATGTGTCTCCAGGTTTCCTGGAGCATCAGCCCAGAGTTATCATCGCGTTCAACTCACGACCGCAAGATCAAATCTGCGAGCTGAAGTCGGACGCTTAACCAACTGCGCCACCCAGGTGCCCCCAAAATATTCTTTTGTAAAGAAATGGAAACATTTATCTTTTCTCCCTGCCTGAACCTTCCAGAAGTCGGAAACTCTCAACGAGTGTTCTTTCTTCCATGACAAGCACGAGGCTTTGACTGGAATGTCCTATTTGAGAGAGATGTGCACAGACTCAGATATGGCCAGACAGTTTTAAGGAACAAAGGTTCACTTGGAGCCAATGGAGCCCCTTGGAAATGTTAGCCTCATACCTTACTTCCAGAGTTGTCAACAGCCTTACCAGGTGCGTAAAGGATGTCACTTCCTGGTGGATACAGGAACCTCGGGAAATTGTGGAGGACCTCACGAAGAGAGGGATTCACCTAAATCTACCGGTGTTACAGGTGAATCAGACGGCAAATATTTGGCTCGGCTCTTGGCCTTAACGTTGTTAAAGGCTCAATCTGAAATTCTTTATAAAAAGTTCAGCAGAGCAGATTAAAAGGAAAAAAAAAACAACCCATAGGGTCAATCTTCCTGTGCTTATGTAAATAATTAAACCTGGACTTATTTTACAAACATATTAGTATTAATTTGGCTATCTTTAATAGGAATGAGGGTGACTTTAGAGAAAAAGATTATGTTTCAGTAACAGCGTGGATGTTAGATCCTGGTTCTGGCTGATCATCTCTGAGTGTTTGTTGTTTGCCTATAAAACCGGGCTGCATCCTGAATTCTTTTGGTTGCTGCTAGCAGGCTGTGCGAGAAAGACGCCATATTGATTAGCAATGTTTGCCATGAGCACGGGGCAAGGTTAGCAATGTCTGCGTTGAGCAGCGCCCCCTGCCACTTTTGGGGGTGCGACATGGCCTTAGCTGGTACCTCTTTCCACCTGGTGGCAGCTGGCTGATTTGTAGGAAAAACAGATGGACGTTAGGGCAGCGGTTTGCAAAGTCACCATGGGCGTGGGAAGCAGAAGGCCATAAGGCGTCAACCAGGAAGTAGGTTGGAATGTACACCTTGTCCCCAGGGCGCAGGAGAGTCTGGGGGTGGGGTGGCAGGGAGAGCATGGGTAGTTTGAAAAGAAAATCTCCCCAGGTGATTCTAACATGCCTACTTCTTCCCCAGGATTGAGAACCCCCCTTCTGGGGGGGGGAAGAAAAAGCTTCTAACATGGCCTGGATGGAACTGGATGACTCCTTCTGGGAAGTAACCAACATTCCCGATAAATTGCTTCAACACTTTCGGGAGAGATCACAGGGAGATTAATCATCCTTCTGGGAAGTTAGTTACCTCCTCAGCTCACTTTTAGGACCACCGAAGGCTATCTGTGAAGGCTCCTGGTAGGATGGAAGGTTCTAGAACACAAAGGAGGCGTTTGATGATCGGTGATAGTATTAGCCACTGTGTTAAGGACACTGTGCCGGGAGTCCCATGAAACAGCTTCTTTCCTGGCACTGCTGTCGTGAGCCGTTGGGTGTGTTATTCCCTTTCCCAGGCTTTGGGTAATTCCTCTGTGAGATAAGTGAGTTGATTGGACTAGGCCCTGGCCCAACTCTGTCGTCTCTTTGGGCATGATCTGATTCCACGTGACCTTGGAATTTTCCCAAGGTTGGGCTAGGAGAGAGAAGAGGAGGGTTTGGGTACCAGGGAACAGCATTCAGCCATCATGGCCAGAAACCACATCTGCCTCGTCCACTGCTGTGTCCCCAAGGGCTGGAACGTAGCAGATACTCACTAAATACTGACTCTCCCAATAGCATCATGGGTCCTGACGGAGAGGAAGCACTTCCGGAAGCCAGAAAGGAAAACCCCAGGCCAGCCAGCTTTCCTGGGTATTCCTACTTTATTTTTTGGCTACATCATCACTACGAAAGGCAGTGGGAGGTTCTGCATGCACTGGAGGGCGTGTGTGGATTCTAGGCAGGGAGGTGGTTACATTTGTCGGGGACAGCGTGCACCCAGACCGGGGACACCGTGAGCTCGCTGCATGCCGATTCCAGCGCCCACACCAGCGTCGGGCTTGAGCAACACAGCCAGCATGCTTTCTCCTAAGGGCGACCGTGGGAAGGAGGTGGGCTGAGAGTGGGTGCCACGGGGACTGACAGAGAGACAGGGTCAGGGGGCAAGATGGCAGCGAGGAAGCTGTTGGCCATCTTGGGGAAGGGGAAGAGCCATCTCGATGTTTAGAAAATGGTTATTCGAGGCGAGAAACCAGAGTCTTCCGATGAGTTTGTGCAGGGAGCTGGGGGTGGAGGCATTGAATGGAGAGGTTCAAAGGTGCGTCTGGAGAAAGGGAGAGCGTTAGTGTCTATCTGGTGATGTCTATAGATGATGGTGGGCAGTGAGACCGAAGGAGGTGATTTCCACAGGGGTAGACAATGGAAACGGGGGGGAAAAACACAAGCCTTTCTCGTGGGGCAATGAAGACTGCCTGACCCCAGCCTCAAATTTATAGCGTTCATTCTCATTGCTTTTTTCCTCCTTTCCATTATTATTATTATTTTTTTTGGGGGGGGGGGAGACCGACTGATTCATGATGGGACAATGGCCTTTGGCATCAGGATCTGTCACTCTCAAAAGCTTTCCATTCATGATGGTGTTTTCTTCCCCTGACAAACTTGGTGAAGAAAGGGCAAGAGACACAGAGACTGAGAGCCACAGACAGAGAGATTCAAGGTGATTCTGAGTGAGAGACAGGATCCCAGAGATGCAGAGAGTCAGCGAGTGCTAAGGACGCAGTCGTGTGTTCCTTTAACTGACGGCAGGGGGGGAGGAAGGCTGGGGGCTTTGGAGAGGTCCCCTGCCCCCAGAGCTCTGGTTTCTACATGCCTTTGGCACCGACTTGGGGAGCCCAGGGGCTGAGGAAGCCCTCTACAGGAGGTCTACACAGCTCCCGGGACGTCGCCAGCAGCTGGCCCAGCCCAAGGACACCCGGCCCTGCAGGCAGGAGTGGAAGTTTTGAGAAGCACGGCCCAACTGGGACTTCCAGGCTGCGCCAGTTTGGGTCAAGCTGGTGAGGGGCGAGGCTGGGTGAAGCCCTTGGAGAGAGAGAAAGGAGGAGGGGAGAGAGATGGACAGGGAGAGAGGAGCGTGAGGAGGTGAGAGAGTCTGGTGGGGTGTAGGGCCCGGGAGAGGGGAAGGGAGGTCGAGGGACAGGGTGGGGGCGCTAGAGAAAGGGTGTTGGGTTTTGCTAGGAAGCAAGTGGGGGGCGCATCCTGAAAGAGGAGGCTACCGGATCCCGTTGGGTGTTCCGTGTGCCCATTTCTTGATGCATCTGGAGCCAGGAGGGCGTGTTCCTAGTCACCGGGGAGTTTAAACCCAGTGGTCTGTTTTCCTGGCCATCGGCGGGGGACGGGTAATGCTGTGGAGGGGCAGCCTGGCCTGGATGCTCTGTTTCTGCCCCAGTGCTGGTCCTCACAGCCTTGTCCGGGTCTGCTGACAACTGAGGATATGCGCAGACACGACACAGGAAATGCAAGTTGTGTGTGTGTGTGTGTGTGTGTGTGTGTGTGTGTGT